CCACAGAAAAGATGTTGTGTCAACAGGCATGAAAACAACATTAATCTTGTCCATCTCCATCAGAGTTCTTGGGTGACCAGGTGTTTTATCAACGAGCAGTAATATTTTGAGAGGAATCTTTCTTTCTGAGCAGTACGTCTCAACAGTGGGTTTAAAATATCAGTAAACCATGTTGTAAACAGATGTGATGTATCCAGGCTTTGATGTTCCATTCATAGAGCGCACAGGCAGAGTAGATTTAGCGTAGTTCTTAAGGGCCCTAGGGTTTTTGGAATGGGAAGTGAGCATTGGCTTCAACTTAAAGTTACAAGTTGCATTGTCCCTTTATAAGAGAGTCAGCCTGTACTTTGAAGATTTGAAGCCACGCATTAACTTCTCCTCTCTAGCTATGAAAGTCCTAGATGGCATTTTCTTCCAATATAAGGCTGTTTTGTCTACATGGAAAGTCTGTTGTTTAGCCACCTTCATGAATTATCTTAGCTAGATCTTCTGGATAAGTTAGTGCAGCTTCTATATCAGCATCTGCTGCTTCACCTTGTACTTCTATTTTATGGAGATGGCTTCTTTTCTTAAACCTCATGAACCAGCCTCTGCTACCTTTCAGATTTTCTTCCTCAGCTTCCTCACCTCTCTCAGCCTGCATAGAATTGAAGAGAGTTAAGGCCTTGCTCCGGGTTAAGGTTTGGCTTGGGGAAGTTTGTGGCTGGCCTGATATATTTAGACCGCTCAGACTTTCTCCACATCAGCAGTAAGTCTCTTTTGCTTTATCATTTGTGTGTTCACTGGAGCAGCACTTTTCATTTCCTTCAAAGAACTTTTTTCTTTGAGTGTACAGGTTGGCTGTTTTGTGCAAGACGCCTTGCTTTTTGGCCTATCTAGGCTTTCATTCTGCCTTCCTCACTAAGCTTAATCATTTCTAGCCTTTAATTTAATTTAAAGACATGCTACTCTTTTCACTTGAACACTTAGAGGCCATTGTAGAGTTATTAACTGGCCTAATTTCAATACTGTGTCTCAGGGAATAGGGAGACCCAAGGAGAGGGAGAGAGATGGGGGAGTGGCCAGTTGGTGGAGCAGTCAGAACACACACATTTGTTGATTAAGTTTGCTGTCTTATATGGGAATGGTTTGTGGTGCCACCAGAATAATTGCAATAACATCCAAGATAACTGATCACAGAACATCATAACAAGTATAATAATAATATTATGAAAAAGTTTGAAATATTGTGAGAATTAACCAAAATGTGACACAGAGACATGAAGTGAGCAAATGCTGTTGGAGAAACGGTGACAACAGACTTGCTGGACACAGGGTTGCCACAGACCTTCTATTGTAAAAAACGCAGTATCTGTGAAGCACAATAAAAACAAGGTATGCCTTGGGTGCCTGGGTGGCTCAGTCGTTAAGCATCTGCCTTCAGCTCAGGTCATGATCCCAGAGTCCTGGGATCGAGTCCCACATCGGACTCCCTGCTCAGCGGGAAGCCTGCTTCTCCCTCTCCCACTCCCCCTGCTTGTGTTCCATCTCTCGCTGTCTTTCTCTCTCTCTGTTGAAAAATAAATAAAATCTTAAAAAAAAAACCCAAAAACAAGGTATGCGTGTATGCTGATGACTCCCAAATGAATATCTGTAGTCCAAACCTTTCCTTGAAACCCCAGACTCTTAACTACCTATCAGTTCATTCCCTTGGATATATAATAATCGTCTCAAAATTACCATCGTTATCAAAAACAATAACAAGAGCTTATATAATACTATGTGCCAAGCACTGTTGTCCCAAAATGGACTCTTCTCCATGTACCTACTTGTATCATCCTCCTTTTATTAGTAAATGGCAAATCCACTGTTCTAGCTGGCCAGGAATCATTTTTTATTTTCCCTCTCTTTCTCTCTTTTTTTTTTTCCTTCATGCAACAAATGTTGTTGGTTAGAGTCTGATGACAGCCATCTTTACTGCTGCCTACTGGACCAAGCCAGTTAATTCTCAATAGAGCAGCTAGGTTGAACCTGTTAAAATCTAGATTAGATCATGTCACCTCTTTGCTCAAAATCTCCAAAGGTTTCCCATGTTTCAGACCATCTAGGTCAAGTTGGATAACTCAGTCAGCCAGTGGGTCAACCTGACCGGAATGGTCCAAGACAACCTCACTCAAATGTCTGGACCCTCAACTGAGATAAATGTGATAGGTGGGAAAACTGGGTCTCCTTTTCCCAAGTGGTCTGTTGTCCTTGGCTTCATAACATGATGATGGTGTTAGCAAAAGGCCAGGCTCAAATGCACAAGTGCTTATCAAGCCTGTTTCTGTCACATTTGGTGAAGTCCGATTGGCCAAAATAAGTCACATGGCCAGCCTAGGGGTCAGTATGTGAAGGGAATTAATAGGGTGCAGATGCCAGGTGGTGTGTGATTCATTGGGGGCCATTAATATAACAATCTTCCGTATGCCCTCCGTGATCTGTATCCAGTTAAATTACTTGATTTTAATATACCACCCCTTTCTTCAGTCAGATAGGAAAATAATAAAGAAGGAACATGACTAGGTAAAACTGACCTCTGGAAGTGTGGGCTAAATAACGTTATTTTGGTAGGAAAATCAGATTTGACGTTTGTATATCTTTTATTTTTTAATTTCAGAGACCACCCAGAAGTAGAGAGTACTATATGTACTATAATAATTTATAGATTCTTTTTTTTTTTTTAATTTTATTTATTTGTCAGAGAGAGGGAGAGAGCACAGCAGGGGGAAGTGGCAGGCAGAGGGAGAAGCAGGGTCCCTGCTGAGCAGGGAGCCTGATGTGGGACTGGATCCCAGGACCCCAGGATCATGACCCGAGCCAAAGGCAGACTGTCAGCGACTGAGCCACCCAGGCTCCCGTTTGCTCTTTTTTTAAAATCTAATTTTTGTTCCATGTCATCTATCAAAGCATATAGTCACATACTTGTTTTCTTCAAATCTCCTCTGTACTTTGTCTTGTCTGTTGCCCTTACGTCATTTTTTTTCTCTTATTGCCATTTCCAATGCATCTGGTCTGTTATTATATTAATATTTATTTTAATTCTAGTGTCTACTCATATTTTGGCTTTCATTTTTCGGTCTTTGGAATTCTGTTAACCTTCTCTTACTGTTATAAGTACGTGCAAGCATTTACTTTATTATGTCTTCAAAGGTAGTCTTACCTGATCATTTATATATTCAGATGCTAATTTTATTAAAAATTGCTTTTCTTTTGGGCACCTGGGTGTCATAGTCCATTGAGTGTCCTCCTCTCAGTTTCAGCTCAGATTGTGATCTCAGTGTTGTGAGGTGAAGTCCTGCGTCTGCCTCTACGCTCAGTGCTGAGTCTGCTTGAGGTTCTGTCTCCCTCTTCCTATCCCCCTCCCACTCATGCTCTTTCTCTCAAATAAATAAATCTTTTAAAAAAATTGTTTTCCTTTATTTTTCCCTTTTTTTAACCTAAAAGGCATTTAGTTTTCATTTTTACTGTGTTAAATAAATAGTATAATATTATCTTGTATTTTATTTCCAGAAGGTACAGAGTTGTTACATAGAATGCATTTTTTTTTCTCCAAAGGCACTGGGTTCAGTAGAGTCGAAAACCATTGTTTTGGCATACCTCATCTAATGTAAAAATTGAGATGGGGGGGGAAATAGCCTTCCAATTGTTGGTTTAATCTAAATTTCTTTTCTTTTTTTAATTTAAATTCAGTTAGCCTTAATCTAAATTTCTTGTTTAACTCACTTGGGTTATTGTATTTATCCATATTCTGTTGAGGTTTCAAATTTTATATTTCTTTTTCTTTTTTAAGATTTTATTTATTTAGGGGCGCCTGGGTGGCTCAGTTGGTTAAGCGACTGCCTTCGGCTCAGGTCATGATCCTGGAGTCCCGGGATCGAGTCCCACATCGGGCTCCCTGCTCAGCAGGGGGTCTGCTTCTCCCTCTGCCCTCTTCCCTCTTGTGCTCTCTGTCTCTCATTCTCTCTCTCTGAAATAAATAAAAAAAAAAAAAGATTTATTTGAGAGAGAGCACACATATGCACGAGCAAGGGGAGGGGCAGAGGGACAAGCAAACTCCCTGCTGAGCACAGAGCCTGACTCTGGACTTGATCTCAGGACACTGAGATCATGACCTGAGCCGAAATCAAAAGTCAGATGCTTAACCAACTGAGCCACCTAGGCGCCCCTCAGATTTTGTATTTCTGTAGAAATCTGTAGTGTATTGTAAGTACTATATAGATCCCAATGTGCAGAAAACAATCTGAATTTCGGATAGCCAAGTAAATGATCATGGACTTCTCTGAACTGACTGTATGAAATGGTAGATTTTCTGAACTTAGAAGGAAGTATGTTATTCCTGGTTATCAGATTAAAAAAACCTTTGAAATTGTTTTCCTGGAAGACTTTGGAGGCTATTCTCAGTTTTGAGAAACTGAATTTTTAGTGTCTTGGCCTTTTGAGAGACTGTGTAGTCCAAATTAACAGAAATTTACTTGATATACTTTAGTCTGGCAGGCATAAACTAGTTAGACACCGGATATACAAAGTTGCACAGGACAGTCTCTAGTGGAGGAAATAACTTCATCATAGTGCTGAGTGCTGAGATGGCGTTAAGATGCACTGGGAGTGCTTGGCCAAGCCAAAGCCCTCATATAGAAATTCCTGAGTTTTAAATGAGAGAAGGGGTTAACCAGACAAGGAGGGAAGAAGGAGGGCATTCCAGGTTGAGTGCAAGAGCATGAATAAAGATAGTGAGGAACAAAATAGCTAAGAACTAAAAGTAATTTAGTTTTATTAGGTCATGAAGTATAAAGTGGGGAGCTGTGGGATTTCACATGCAATGCTAAGGAGCTTGGGTTTTATGTGGTATTTTCTCAGTCTTCCACTAATGTACAACTAAGGTCACTGGAGATTGAATACATGCTTTCGAAGTAAGGGAACAAAGTCCACATGGACCTCCTGCATGTTTGAAATTTCTCTTAAGACTGGTGTTTTAGGCCATGTTGGGACAGAGCATCCGGAGGTTCACAACCTCTGTGGTCCGTAGGAGCCACTATGAGGAAGGCCCAGGGAAGAATTTGCCATTTTCAGTGGAAAACAAGTGGCAATTACTACTTATGATGACTTTGTACTTGGGATCTGGATTTGCTGCACCTTTTTTTATAGTAAGACATCAGCTGCTTAAGAAATAAGGATGTTTTAATTAATTCATCAAACAGATGTGAAAAGGAACATTTTAAGAGGTGCAGTCTCTTTCAAAAATGGATCAAACTCTTGTTTTCAACATACTCAATATGTTTGTAAATAAACTTATGGCATGACTCCTTAAAAAAAAAGACTGGTGTTTTATTGTTAAATATTATAACTTTGTCTTTTATTCTAGAATTGATTAGTGTGAGTTCTTAGCTTCAGTTTCCTAATTTATAGGAAGAGAATAATAATAGCACTTACATCTTAGGATTGTTGGGAGGAGTAATAACTATAATGATAACAATGACAAAATAGCTAATATTTTTTGAGGGCTTACTGAGGAACAGTCCTAAGTGCTTTATTTCTATTACCTCATTTAATCCTCAAAACATCTCAATGAGGTAGGTACATTTATTTATCTCCTTCTTACTTCTAACAAAACTGGGGCATAGAGAAGTGATTTTCCTAAGGTTACACATCTAGTTGTTGGCAGAACTTGGTTTGAATGCAGTCTGAATACAAGACGCTTAACTATTACATTATACTCCCATTGTTTGAGATCATGCATATAGAACATTTAGCACATACTCTACCACATAGTAATTGTAATTGTAAGCAATTAGCAGCAGCCAATAATATTAACTTGACTTTGTTCAAATCTTTGAGTTAAATTGATTTCCCTAAGAAATTTTGCTGTTTTTCTGTGGCTAGACTTACTCCCAGCATGCCATTAAATGCAGACAGTGTGACACATACACCCATGCTTTTAACCACTACCCTTAATTGCCTCCTCCTTCCTTGTGGATCTGTGTCCCCATTAGATTTTAAATCCATGGCAGGGACCATATTTGTTTTGTTCATCATTGTATACCCAGTCCTTCACACAGTATCTCACACATAGACATTACTAAATCATTCAGTGAGTGAATAAAGATCTAAAAACCTGACATTTTTAGCTGATCTTAGAATTTAAACATCATTCATACCACCTCTAATTGTGGTTTAACTGCTTTACATGTTTTTCTGTTGATAACAGTCTAGTTTGGACCAACCATCTGCTCCTGTGTTCTACAGGGCACTCTCACCTTGGAACTACAAGAACCCTGCTGGGTAACTGGTATTTGTTTGCCTTATAGAGATCAGTCAGCTTTCAGAGAGAGAGGGTAATTAGATAATATTTTGATCTAAAACTAGAACGTTAGAAATATACAAAACAGCATTTTAAAATGTGTATTCTAAGAAACTTAATACAGAAAGAAAAAAGTATTTTTCATTTGCCTTTGACATTAAATCATTTCAAATAAAGAGAAAATAATTTAATTTTTTTCAAAGGAGTTCTCTGTTACTGTGGGTTAACTCATATTTTCCTCCTCTCCTCTGTCTAGAATGTCTTAAACCATTCTACCTTATGAGAAATTGGATGTTCTTGCAGATAGTCATTGTGGGAGAAAACGTTTCATTTAAGTCCCAGATGAGGACCGGAAACTTGAAATCAGAGGAGCATCTGAAATCAAGTAATATTAGGTAGGATAAAAATTACAAGGGATTTCTACATGTTTGTATTCCTTTTAGAGATGTATGTTAAAGTATGCATATTCTATGAGCACTAATGGAAGAGTTAGAGACTTTGTGAAGCGTTTGCTATTGGCCAGGATGGGAGATGGGAATGCTAAGATGTTTTTTTACTTATGTGGCTTCATGAGAACTTTGGCATATGTTTACTTTGTCATGAGCATTTATATCTTGTAGTTGAAGGAAATTTTTAAAATATTTACTGACATAAATCTAAGACATTTTTATGTTTATATAATATGAGGTCTCTGAATATTCATGATTAGCGTAGGGACATGTGATTCATTTTATAGATTGTCCTTTAATATGAAAATTCCTGTGTTTTGGGTTACATATATAACAGTTCATTTGCATGCAGGGAGCATCAGCTCTTACTTAGTTCTCTCTGTGTGCATGGATACAGTCCAGCTTCCCAGATGCCTATAGAAAAAGTATATGATTGCATGCTAGGGAAGCCCTCTCTAACCACATGGTGAGTTAGAAACTGTTGTCACAGCAGTTTGTAATAACAGTTATAATGACAGAATGTGTGAGGGCATCTGATCTCAGAGATGTGGCTTTTAAATTAGAAGTGATAGTTGCCCCTAGAAGTTGATACCTTGACAATGACATCTATAGCCAGGCCAAGAAGACTTGTTTTACTGTACAATGCTTAAGAACTATGGAACCAGGGCGCCTGGGTGGCTCAGTCGGTTAAGCGACTGCCTTCGGCTCAGGTCATGATCCCAGGGTCCTGGGATCGAGTCCCGCATCGGGCTCCCCTGCTCTGCGGAGAGCCTGCTTCTCCCTCTCCCACTCCCCCTGCTTGTGTTCCCTCTCTCGCTGTCTCTCTCTGTCAAATAAATAAATAAAATCTTTAAAAAAAAAAAAAAAAAAAAAAAAAGAAAAAGAACTATGGAACCAGACTGACTATAGGTGGAACCTAAGCTCTGCCACCTCCTAGTTGTGTGACTTCGGGCAAGTTATTTAGCAACTCTGTGCCCCTATTTCCTTGCAGCAAAATGGGGATAAACTTACTACTTACCTGATAGATTTGTTGTGTGAATTAAAGATTTAATAAAATATGAAAGCATGTAAACATGACCTAGCAAATACTAACTGATCAAACTCTATTTTCATTAGGCTCTTAGTTAATTCTTAACAGAGGAGTTTAGAGTCTATGATTAATTATCATAACGTGTCTGTATTTTATAATTTGCTTGATCTGTTATCAGGTCCAATATTTAAAATGTGTTTAAGTTATGTAATCAAAACTACTGTTTGGAGAAAAGCAAAAAAGAAACTATTTTGCAACTTTGACTTATCTACCTCTGGTTTCATTTTCTGTACATACTAAGAACTTGGTCATCATGACGTGTAAACAGTTTCTCTTTCTATTGTCCTTGAGCATTATATGGTAGTAGATGACAGGATTTTTGACCCCCATCTTGGAGTGTTGTCTTCTTCAACCCCGTGTTCTGCTTCAGAAAGGATCCTGTGTCAGGAACCAGATTAGCAAAAGTAGTTTGGTGGTCACTAAAGTGTTGGTTTTATAATCAGATAACAGCCCTCCCTCTTGGAGTTTTCACTTAGGTTCTTTTATGTAACTTACTGGTTGTCTTGTTTATTTCTCATAGCAACTCTGAAAGGGAGTTTGTTTCCCTGTTTTACAGATGAGGAAATTGAAGTTTTTTGGAAAGAAGCGCCAGCATACCACTACTAATATATAGGAAACCCACATTCAGACCTTTTGTATTCTGTATCACTTTTCATTGCAGAAAATTGCCTCTTGTATGATGTACATTTTACCATTCATTAATTCAACAAAATTTTAATGAACAGCTACCATATACCAGGCATTATTTTAGGTGTTAGGGATACAACCCTGAACACTATCTTCTCCCTCATTCCCATGGGCTCTTCTCTTTCTCTAGTTGAACTGTAAGCATATATCTTTATCCTTGTACTCAGCCATAACATATTGAAATCATCTGTATGTCTTTGTATCTTCCACTTTATCTTGAGTTCCTTAAAAGTAAGTAGGACCTGCTGTCATTAAGGCTAGCTATATTTTCATATTAATTTTTCCATTGTGTCTAATCTATACAGCTTGCATAACTTTTTCTCAATTATTTTCTTTGCCTTTGTAAGGCTCCCTTTCCTATTCATTTTGTAATTATCTCTGATATTCACCATTCTCTTCAGTTTATCTACCTCCTACGTTCATGATCTGATCTCCTACTTTATCTCTGAAGGTAATGCAGTGAGTGTAGCTTTGAATTCTCTTGGTATCTCTTCACCCCACACTACTCCCAGATTCTTCTAGCACATTTCCATCTAACCTTACCTCCCCCCAATTTCATCCTGCCTCTTTTTCAAAGGCAGTCTTGCCTCCTGTCTTATTAATCACGTTCTCATTTCCTTCCATATCTTCTAGAACCATGCTCTGTCAGTTTTGTTCTCATTTTCTTAAGTCTTCCATTCTATATTCATTTCTTCATTTTAAACCTGTTTAAGTCTGTACCATTATAAAAAGGAAACTTCTCTTTATCATGGCCCTCTTCCCTTTTTCCTCACTGCCTAGCATTTTTAATTGGCCTAAGGATTTCCCTTTTTTTCTTTTCTTTCTTCTTCTTCTTCTTTTTTTTTGAGAGAGGGAGAGAGAGCCCGTGAGAGCAGGACGAGGGGCAGAGGAAGAGAGAGCATCTTAAGCAGGCTCCACACTCAGTGCGGAGCCTGACTTGGGCTCAATCTCATGACCCTGAGATCATGACCTGAGCCAAGATCAAGAGTGGGACCCTTAAACATCTGAGCCACCCAGGTGCCCCTAAACTTCTCTTTCTTATTTGTTCCCTAGTCCCCTGCAATTTGACATTGTCTCTTTTCTGGCAGGGCTATCGTTGACCCTTATTTCATTGAATCCAACCCACTTTCCAGTCCTTGTAGTTATCTGCCCCTTAAAAATGAAAATAGGTCTTTCTCTCTCTGACTTCACTTCACTCAGCATGATATCTCTAGGTCCATCCCTGTTTTTGCAAACAGCAAGATCTCATCCCTTTTTATGGCTGCATGATATTCCATTGTGTATACATGCCACATCTTCTTTATCCATTCATCTATGGATGGACACGGGTTGCTTCCATATTTTGGCTATTGTAAATAATGATGCAGTAAACATAGGGTACATATATCTTTTTGAATTAGTGTTTTAATTTTCTTTGGGTACATACTCAGTAGGAATTGGATTATGTAGTATTTCTATTTTCAGTTTTTGAGGAACCAAGGAACCATGTGATTTCACTTACATGTGGAATCCAAAAAAACAAAACGAATAAACAAAAAGCAGAATCAGACCTATAAATAGATGGTTGCCAGAAGAAAAGGGGATGGGGGAACAAGCAAAATGGGTGAAGGGGAGAGAGAGATACAGGCTTCCAGTAATGGATTGAGTAAGTCACAGGAATAAAAGGTACAACATAGGGAATCTGGTCAGTGGTATTGCAACAGTGTTATATAGTGACAGATAGTAGGTACACTCGTGGTGAGCATAGCATAACAAATAGAGTTGTTGAATCACTGTG